ATTTGCAATTCTGTTTCTCAACTCCAAAATTCAGCACTGCATGGCAATGCCTAGAGGTTGGAATAATGGCAGGATGCACCATTTCTCCACTGGCTTTTACCATGGCAATGGAAGTAATCATTAGGGCATCAAGATGGGTAGTAGGAGGAGAGCGCTTGGCTTCTGGGATGCGACTACCACCAATCAGAGCATACATGGATGACATGACAACCATGACTACAACAGTAGCCTGCACTAATCGGTTATTGGGGAAGTTAACAGATAATATTGAATGGGCACGAATGCAATTTAAGCCCTCTAAATCAAGGAGCATCTCGATAGTTAAAGGAAAGGTAGTAGATAAAAGATTCTTCATTAATGGTGAGGCAATACCAACAGTTTCTGAGAAGCCAGTGAAGAGTCTTGGGAGATGGTACGATGGGGATCTAAAGGACACAGTTCGGGTGGGAGAAGTTAGACGACAAGCAGTGGAAGGGTTGAAGAGCATAAAGAGCTGTGCTCTACCTGGCAAACTAAAACTCTGGTGCTTTCAGTTTGGTCTACTGCCGAGGTTGCTGTGGCCACTGACCGTGTACGACGTTTCTTTGACAACAGTGGATAAGCTGGAAGCGTTGATAAGTTCATACATCAGGAAATGGTTGGGAGTTCCACGCTGCCTCAGCAGAGTGGGACTTTATAGTAAAGGAATATTGCAGCTGGCAGTCTCTGCTTTAACCGAGGAGTTTAAGTGTGCCAAGGTCAGACTGGAAATGACCTTAGTAGAGTCACGCGACAAATGTGTAAGGGAGGCAGCACCTGTGTTAAAAACTGGTAGAAAGTGGTCAGCAAAGAAATCTGTTGTAGAGGCAAAGGCTGCCCTTCAAATTGGGGATATCGTGGGACAGGTAGAGCATGGAAGAGGGGGTTTTGGGCTCAGTTTAGCTCCTCCTAAATGGCACAAGGCAGGCCCAGCTCAAAGGAGGAAGCTGGTAGTCAACGAGGTGCGAAGAGAGGATGAGGTGTATAAAGGCCATTTCCCAGGCCAAGCAGGGAGAGTGGATGAGATGGGAGAGTGTGGAACAACGCAAGATGGGCTGGCAAGACCTTTGGTCAATGGAAGAGAGTAGGATCAGTTTCCTTATTAGGTCAACATATGATGTTCTTCCATCACCGCAGAACCTAAACCTCTGGGTAGGAGAGGATCCCTCTTGTCCTTTGTGTTCATCACCTGCCACATTAAGGCACATTTTGACAGGATGTAAGGTGGCTCTTAGCCAGGGTCGGTTTACTTGGCGCCATGACCAAGTACTGCGATGTTTGGCTTTAGCATTGGAAGGCAAGCGTAGTATGACCAATAAGATGCCGCCTGTTCTAGCAAAACATTACACGCAGAAGACAATATTCCTCCGCCCAGGCGAGCAACCACCAAGAAAAGGTGTTAACACCAATTCTCGCCCAGGACAACTGGAAGCTGCTAGGGACTGGAAGATGCTGGCTGATCTTGATCAACGGCTTATTTTTCCACCTGAGATTGCCACCACTAACCTACGACCAGATATTGTTTTGTGGTCTGGATCAGCACGCATTGTTCAACTGATAGAGTTAACAGTGCCATGGGAGGATGCGGTAGATGAGGCATATGAGAGGAAGAAACTGCGGTATGCTCATCTGGCCACTGAAGCAGAACAGCGAGGATGGAGCGTCCAGGTTTATCCAGTGGAAGTGGGTTGTCGAGGTTTTGTGGCACACTCTACAACCCGGTTCCTCAGAGACGTCGGATTCAACGGCCAAGAGTTGCGTCGCACAGTAAAGAACTTATCTGAAGCAGCAGAAAGGTGCAGCAACTGGCTGTGGTTGAGACGGAAAGATTCTAGCTGGCTGTGTACAGGCCGCCACGCTACGGTTTCGTAGAATTCTTGAACACTTGAAGAGTCTGTTGGTTTATTTGTATACGTTCCTGTGGATATTGCGTGAATGACGGGTGGTTGGGCAGATATTGTGTTTTGCGGTAGGTGGTATGCCATACGGAACCGTTGCCACTGAAACTGCATATTAACGCACCAGTGGGGCTTGGGTTGCGGAGAGATTGTGAGATTGTGGTTAGGTCTCAGCAGCAGGAGGGAAGTAGAGGTCAGTAAGCCGGGCTGAGTTGAGTGGGGGACGGAGGGGGGTGACTCTGGGACGCCAGAGTCACTGTCGAGCCCTCTTGAGGTGTCGTGGGCTAGTCGACGAAACACTGAGGACGGAAGGTGCCCACTTGAAGACCCTAGAGATGTCCCCTACTCGGCTCAATCCAGATGGTTGTCGTGCTGGTCCTGTAGTTGCAGCCGTCGCGTGTGCTCACTGTATTCCCGAACAGTATAACCTACTTATTAAAATTAAGTGAACTATACTCAAAACAGTGAAACAGTTCATTCAACTTAAAACTTTTAAGTTTGTTCAACGATTTGGCCGTTTTAAGTTCCAGGCACTCAAATAAAATAAGTAAAACTTGACGTCATCTTAAATACCATAGCCTTACTTTTGCCTCTTGGTGGCGGTAATGAGCTTTATTGCGTTCCAATCTGCCAATTCAACAAAGAAGAGTCTCTACACTCAAAGCCTTTTTAAAAGATATACAAATTTCAATAGTACAATTCCATCACATTGAGTTTAATGATCCTTACATATTTTATTTTAATTTAATTTATTAAGGATTGTTCAATTATTCAATTAAAATATGTAAGGGTTATTCAATTCAATTTGATAAAATTTTACTATTAATTCAAATGCATAAATCTTAAAAGTAAAACGTTTTAAGTATTCTCAATGCACTTTATTTGCTATTTTTAAAACATACTGTAAAACTCTCCAAAACAGACTAGTCAACATGACTATCATGCTATGTCCGTTTATTTCATGTTTTACTCAAATGACTGTAAAAATAACAACGGAGTAAAATCATAGACTGTAAAAAATATGGACAAAGCGTCTGTGACGTCACCCATAGACTTTCTGAAGAACGGTTTTGAGGCTGTTTATGGGGGGTAAGTTCGGTGCCATCTTGGAAAATCTTACGATATTTCAAATAGAAATGTTCAGAAAGGATACAGAGGTGGTATGATGTGTTGTGTCAGATCATGGCCGAGACGTCAAATTTCAGGAATTCCACTCGGCGCAGCCCGTTATCAGCTGTCAATCACGCGCTTATTTGTCATACATTTTATATCTAAATACGATCTAAACTACCGAGTTAGAAAAAATTCACCCCCCTCACAGTTGTCAGGCACTCGGAACCTATCGAAAAATACAATAAAAGTCCATGGGACCAACCTGTAAAAACATGAATTTATGCTGTGAAAACTGACATTTTAACATGCGGGTCTATGGAGATTTGCTCCCTTTTGGGACCTCCCTCTAGCGGATTTTCGATGTATTGCAGTTTTTCGCACTTCCGGGTAGGCTTAATTTTTCAGCTTAGAATGTTGCCGCTTGAGTAAAACCGAGTAAAACTAATTACCATAGCCTTATTTTTGCCTCTTGGTGGCAGTAATGAGCTTTATTGAGTGCCAATCTGCCAACGAAAAAGAAGAGTCTAGTCGGCGCACTTTATTTTTTAAAACATAACATACCAGGTAAAACTATCCAAAATACAACACACAACAAAGAGTCACCATATCATGTCATGTCCGTTTATTTCATGTTTTACTCAAATGACTGTAAAAAAATAACAACGGAGTAAAAATAATTCCCATTTGAAATCGAGTGCTCGAATTTGAACTTGGAAGCCCGCCATTGTCATGCAGGAGTCGTTGCCTCAACGTGGTTCTGTCTGTGGAATCAGTTTCGTTCATCGTCGTCGTTTCTGTGTTTGCTGCGGTTTGTTTAGTGGCTTTAATCTGGTAAGTACTTCTTAACTTTTTTTAAAAGTTATTCAAGTAATCTGCATCAGAATGTGACAGAAAAGTCATCAAACTGAAACTATTTACTTGTTGCGTTTTGCTAATAGACCTAACGTTACTAAAATGATCAGGCACACTTTAGGCCTATGTTGCGATGTTATTTGTGGATTGATTTAACTAAATTTAAACAATTAGCAGCTAAGGGACTGAGTTGATGTACGCAATCGCATCGCAAGGATAATAATTTGTGGCACTGTTGGTTATCGCAGTTGCTTGTATTGAAGCTTTTCGGTTACAGAACCTAAATTGAAACAGGAAAAAAAAGATTAAAACCACTTTCATTAAATCTTACTTGTTTTTTTAACTGATACTTAGAATTAAATTAGCTGTAATCAAAGCCCAATTTCTAAATTCTGAAATTGTTGTATGACTTTGACATGTCTCTGCCTCACTATTAATTTGTGTTTTTATTTTCCTCACTATTAATTTGTGTTTTTATTTTCTATACAGGTTCAAACTTGTGAGACCAGAGCATATGTGAGTAAAATTACAATTTTGAATTTGGGGGTGAAAATACATGACTAAAAGTATGCAGCATTTTAAAACTCCAACTGACTTTAGAGGTTGGCATAGCTCATGGCATAGTTGGGTTTTCTTATGTCTTGTCATTTTAATGATTTGGATTTGAGTGATGGATTGGAAATGCAGGTTGTGTGATTAAGATGGGGAACTATCGTACAAAACTCAGCAGATCTGGCTGTGAAGAGGTGGCTGTTAACTCGGGGAAGAGAAGCCAAAATAATCCAGAGAGTGAGTCTCCCCACTCCAACATCAGAAGAGCTCGTCGAGCTGAGGTAAACTACCTACCAAATTTTCCAAAAGGAGAGAGTGCTGAAAGCTTGGAGCAACAAAGATTGCAAATAGTTGAAGTGTCTAAGACAGAAAGAAGTCTTGGGCTGATAGAGAAACTCATGCAAAGTACATTTGCGCTGCATCGCAAACAGATCGTTGTAGATAACCCATCACAACCAGTGAAGGACTTTTTGGAAAAGTGGCCTGCACTTCGCTTGGAATCTCAGGTAATTTTCTCAGTTGCTCTCTGTTAGATTCCATTTTTTGTGTTTATGTGTGTCTGTTTCTTTTGTTTTCTTGTTTAACTTTTTTTTTTTTTGTTATTTGTTTGAATGCTTGCTTTCAGATTGCTGCAGAATTCCACAGAAATACTAATATCAGCTTGAAAAACAAGTGCTATGCAGAACTGGACAACCATACTCCTCGACTGATTGCTGTTAAGCTGCAGAAGCACTGAGAAGCATCTTTAGTGCCTTTGATCTTGTGGTAAATGTTGTTAATTACATTTATAGTACAAGTTAACTGGTTAATGTGCACAAGTATTTTATCTGTTAATAGTTTAAACCTGGCTTTGAACTTTTTTCGCTTTAAATTTCTTCCCCTCTTTCATCTGTACTTTTATCTCTATTTTTTTTTCTTTTCTCTTGCACCACTAAGACAGTTCTGTCTTTTTCCAGGATCACTACGATATTGACAATAGACGTACAGCTGCACTTCGAGCCCTCCCTGTCTACTTGCACGAAGATGACTCTGTGTTTTTCAAGATGTGGAATGTAGGTTTTTATACATCTCGTTTGAATTTTAATGTTATTTATCCGATTATGCACATGAAGTTCTCTCATGCTTTTCAGACTGAAGAGGTGGATGAGCCAGACATTGCAGATTCAGCTGTAGCTCTTGTCAGCATGGTGAATGGAGACTCGACTTCCACTGTTCAGTTTGACCCTGCTGGGATTGCTATTGTTCTAAGGGACATTTCCAGGTTGGCTGATGATTTTCTTTTGATGTTTGGTTTGATATATGCATTACATCTCAACTACCCCAAAGAGCTGACACACACATTTAAAGGATTAGTTCACTTTAAAAAAAACTTTTGCTGATACTCACCCCCATGTCATCCAAGATGTCCATGTCTTTCTTTCTTCAGTCGAAAAGAAATTAAGGTTTTTGATGAAAACATTCCAGGATTTTTCTCCGTATAATGGACTTCAATGGGGTCCAAACGGCTCAAGGTCCAAATGACAGTTTCAGTACAGCTTCAAAGGGCTTTAAACGGTACCAGACGATGAATAAGGGTCTTATATAGCGAAACGATTGGTCATTTAAAAAATAAATAAAAAAATTTAAGTTTGCGCGTTCGTAACGTTCGTTCGTGACCTTTTCAACGTAATTGCGCATCACGTGACGTCACATGAACACACATCACAGAACAGAGCAAGGCGAGCATTTGTGCTTATAAAACTTAAACTTTTTTATTTACTTTTTAAATGACCGATCGTTTCGCTAGATAAGACCCTTATTCATTGTCTGGTATCGTTTAAAGCCCTTTGAAGCTGCACTGAAACTGTCATTTGGACCTTGAACCGTTTGGGTCCCATTGAAGTCCATTATATGGAGAAAAATCCTGGAATGTTTTCATCAAAAACCTTAATTTCTTTTCGACTGAAGAAAGAAAGACATGGACATCTTGGATGACATGGGGAGAGTAAATTATCAGCAAATGTTTTTTTTTTTTAAAGTGAACTAATCCTTTAACTTCATCCAAAAAGTCTGGGCTTGGATGACTCAAAGCCACTAGCACCCAGATTTTTGTCTTACTTTTTTTTTTTTTTTACTGATTAAGAAATTTTCTGCATTTCTGGATGCACAAGAGACTGTTTATTGTATTTTGTTTAACTTGTTGCAGGGCTCCAAACTGCGACTAAAATGGTCGCATTTGCGACCAAATATATTTATTTGCGAGTGAAATTTCTGTCAAGGTCGCCATTGGCGACAATACAAATTTACTCCCTTTGATTGTAAAATTTGCATCCTACGTGCATGTTTTATAACCAGCAGCCTATCGCTTCATTTGTTTTGTTAACGTCATGAAATGAGATGCTTTGTGTGAACGTCACTGAGTGAAAGCGCCAAAATGTGAACGGGTAAAGCGAATATCACCTTTCCGCACCAGAAAAAAAATGTCAAAGCGAAAAATATCTGACTTCTTCAAGCAATCCTCATCTCTGTCAATCGCCAGCACGGATGACACACCTGCTAACAAAAAAGCAGGCTCCAGCAGCTGTGCCAGCACGAGCGCGCAAGAGAACGCCAGGGACACAGACACAGGGATTCATCTTTCCGCATCAGTCAATGAACAACGTGCCGAAAGACATTTCAAAACGTCCTGGATTCAGGAGTTTTCTTGGCTGAGGTATGATCACGAGACACAAAAAATGTTTTGTGACTTTTGTTCAAGAGCGGGCAAAGAAATAGCGGGGAAAACGGAGTTCATTGCAGGAACTAACCATTTCAAAAAAGAGACTGTGAGAAAACACGGGGACAGTAACAAGCATAAAAATGCACGTGATCACATAATCGCGAAGAATGCTCCACAGACTACACCGTTAGCACGTGCAGTTTCTCGTGCATGCGAGCTGCGGGACGAAAAGGAATGGAAGGAGTTACAAATGAAATTTAACACAGCCTATATGATCGCACGGGAAGAGCTGCCGTTCAATAAATTTAGTTCACAGATATTATTAATGAGAAAAAACGGACTTGATGTGAGCAAAACTTATGATAACGACACATCTTGTGCTGAGTTTGTAGGATGCATTGCAGATGAGCTCAAAGAACAAGCACTGACAGATGCACAGACAGCTAATTACATCTCCATTATCACTGATTGTGGCACAGACGTTTCTGGGAAAGACAACGTTATTGCATACTGCAGGCACATTTCTGCAGGTGTGGCAGTGAACAGGTTTATTGGTTTAACTGAGCTTGAACACTGCCATGCACATGGAGTATTAGATAAAATAAAATGCTTGTTTAGTGATGCTAAACAAACTGATCGTGATTGGTGGCAGAAGAAGATTACTGCATTTGGAGCAGATGGGGCTGCCGTTAACATGGGTGCTCGAGGAGGAGTAGGTGCTCTCTTAAGAGAAGAAATAGGACAGCACATTCTTTCCTTTCATTGTATGCCACACAGACTGGAATTAGCCATGCTGGATGTTCAGAAGTCTGTTCCAATGATTCAAAATGTCTATGACTTGTTACAGCTAATATGGAAAACATACCATTTTAGCCCCAAAAGCAAGCGTGAGTTGAAAGCCATTGGCATGGAGTTAGGCTGTGCCATACGAACACCTTCTGCTGTGAAGACCCAGCGCTGGCTGCCTCACATTTACAGAGCCCTTTCTGTTTTTCTTGCATCTGATCAGACTACAGGCCAGGGCCAATATACAGCTGTGCACTTCCACATGCAACACCTTGCTGCCTCATCCAAAAACACTGAAATAGCAGGAAGAGCAAAACACATCTCACAACAAATGGAAAAGTTGCCTTTTGTGGGGTTTTGTCACTTTCTCCATGACCTGTTTGGAGAAATCTCAAAGTTGAGTCTTGTGCTTCAGAAGAACTCGCTTATTCTACCTCAGGCTAAAGCAGCTATTGATTCCTGTGTTTGTACAATCAAGGGAATGAAGGACAAACCAGTGAGAAATGGAAAGTTGGAGGAATTTCTCAGTCACACAAACTTAAATTCAGTTTCTCAGCATGAAAATGTGGTGCAGCAGGACAAAGCCCAAAGAGAAAAACAGACCAGAAGGCAGAAAAAAGCAGCCTCATCTGACTATGTGGGCATTTCCTTTCAAAACATACAGCTAAAAGGCTGTGATCTCCAAGGTTTCAGTGAAGAACTAAACCACCTCATTGATGAAACTGTAGACATTACAGTTAAGGAGCTTGAAAGGAGATTTGAAATAATGAGAGACAACACACAGCACAAAAACATACAAGGGACAGAGATCATTCAATGCTTCTCAATCTTTTGTCATGATTCTTGGCCAAACGGCATCTACACTTTTGGGGTAAATGAAATTGACACACTGCTGAAATGGTATCAAGACATCTTGCTGAAAAATGGATGTGACATCACTGCTGTACAGGCAGAATGGAGATTGTTGAAAACCCTTGTTAAAGGACAGTTTTCAGATAAATCCTATTGCAGCTTGTGGGAAGTCCTACTAACAAAAGAGCCCTACTGCACAGATTTCCAGAATGTTTTGCATCTAGTTGAGATAATGCTTGTCCTACCAATTTCGGCTGCTCAGTGTGAACGTGGCTTTTCAGCTCAAAACAGGATAAAATCTAAAGTACGCAATTCACTCCATGTGTCAACCTTGGAAGATTTGATCAGGATCAGCACTGAAGGCCCATCACTTGAACAGTTTGATCCTGAACCATGTGTCAAACGCTGGCTTTCTGCAAAAAAGAAGAGGAGACGGCCAAACTACACTCAGTGGCCAAGTGATATGGACATAATCATGGTCAGTGGCAGTGACACTGGCTCAGATTCTGCGTAAAAAATTTCATTTGACTGTATATAGTTCATAAGTTGGAAGTGACATTCAGTTCCCAAATAAGCTTCAGTTCCCAGAACATTCACAAGATGAAAATGCTGAAACTGTATGAAGAGGAGAGACATGCATACAACAGGGTGACTAAAGGTAAGTGCATTGTTATGTGGCTCTTAAAAAATTATTTGGCGCCTGTTTTTTTCCCCTATAGGAGCCAATGGCTCCTTAATTGATTTTTTTGTTTGGAGCCCTGTGTTGTGATTATTATTACAGTCTATTGTAATACTTGTCTCAAATTTAGAAATTTTCCAGAACACAGATTGTGTTCACTTATTTACTGGGATTGCATTACTGAAAGATGGCCCAGATTGCCGTTTAAAAAAAATGTTTTACTTGTTAAAGAGTTTTTCCTGCATCTCTGGATGCACTAGTTTTCTACACCTTATCTGTCCTTTTCATTTGTTGTGACTAATACAGTGACATTCTAATGTTTACAGAGGTCTGTTATAATGCTGGCATGAACGGTGTAAAAACTTCTGAAATGTTTTAATGCATTATTATACATTTCTAAAATGTCTAGGTATTGTGACACTTTTGTTACATTCTCAAAAGGTAATGGCAGTGACACATGTTAATGCAGCAGGTTTGAATTATTTCTTTTGCAAAATAAAATGTACTTTCATGTATGGAGTTTGAAATTGTCTTCCTTTCTAATGTTTAAGGAATAATTTTTGCTAATGTTAATTTTGAGGTCATATTTCTTGAAAATTAAAGCTCCAGTCGGCAAGTCGGGCAGATTGAGTGGATTTAGGAAAATTTTGAATGTTTACAACTCTCATGCCCCTCCCCCACTATCAACGGATACCCTCCCACCCAGTTCATGCTCGTCAGTGCGTGTGCACCAGATTTTCAGTGAACGCCAGGGCTCTCAAGTGTCACTCATTTCGGTCTTTTGTCACGCTCTCCCGCCACACATTGTATTTCTCACGCTGAAAAAACTATTTGTAATATATTTAATATGCCGCAGCGCCCAAAGTCTGGCCGCGCCGCTCTCACTGTGGAACCGGCATGAATCAAGCGCGTTTACTTTCCTCTGGTGTTGTTCGTCGAGCTACACAATAGCCAATCAGAAAATAGCACTATTGTATCTGGGTAAGATTTAACGCAACAACCAATGACAAAAATGTATCCAACCCCCCGTCGGCTGGGTGTCACTCTTACATGTCTTCAAAACTTGAGAGCCCTGGAACGCTCCCATCTCATCAGCATCCATCAACACCATGGAGTATTTGGAGGTATGCTGTCCTGGCTAATGTACCGATAGATTGCAATTGCTAACGTCATTTATACTCTAAATGAGCTTACTTGATTTTCCGCCATCACTCTTCGTTACTGCGCGAACTTCCGCGAACTTCAGGCGTGTGCATGTGATTGTAACGTGCGCGAGGGGTGGCGTGTGCCCGATCTGTGATTGACAGTCAGATCTCACACCCCCCTGCGCTGATTGGACATGATGAACCGGGAGCTGTGGATTTTTGCAAAACAAATAACAACCTCCAGGTGGAGTTAGAAGCTCGGGGTTTTTTCTAAAACCACTTTATTTATGTTGTTCTGTCAGATTATAGTGTCGATTTCACTGAATATGATCAAAAAAATGTTGCCGACGGCAGCTTTAAGTATTATATTTATTTATTTGAAAATGTATAACAAATTTAGTATTAATTTCTGATT